CAGTGTCCCCCCTGGGCTCTCCGAAGTGGTTGCTAGTCGCCCCCCCCAGCCTGGGGGGCTCCTCGCTCCTGGCTCCCCCTCCGCTGCCTTCCCGCCCTGCTCCCTCCCCTCTGCCTCCCCTCCCCTGCTCACAGGCTCTGTGCTTCTGCAGGCACCTGCCACCTGCTCTTCCCCAGACGACCCCCGGCCACCTTCAAAGCTCATCCCCTTGGGGACGCTTGGGTACCTCGACAGTGCCGGGAGTGAGGGTGCTGGGCCACAGCGGGGACAGACTCACAGTTTCTCCAGACGCAGTGGCTGCCTCAGTTTACCCCCACCAGCAGGGCCGAGGCCCTCCCATCCCCCACACTTGCTACTGTCTGCCCCTCGCAGCTTGCTCCTCCGGAGGCACTCGATGGGTCAGACCGCTTCCCCAGTCCGTGCGGGCCGCTCCCCTGGGCTTGTGTGTCCCCACCCCGTCCGCCCCCGCCCCCGTCCACACCCCCCCTTCCCCTTCACTTATTTTTTGCCTCTCCGTGTGTCCCCAGTGCGGGCTTGCAGACCTCTCCCAGCTAGCAGCTCCCAAACTCACCCTGCTGACTGTTCTTGTCAGAGGGACTTGCTGAGTGACCAGAGGGGAAACTGAGGCTCAAATCAGGGCACCGCCAGGCTGGGGTGCAGAGTGCTCTCCTGGCTCTCGGGTGCCCCTCCAGCCTGCCCCCGGGACCCACCCCCTGGGCCAGATCACACAGGGCCAGGGCACGCTTCGGCGGCCCCCTCCGGCCCCGCAGAGCCCCGTCCCCAGGAGCCCGCTGGCCGCTGCTGCTCCCGCAGTCATTCTCCCACTCCAGCCCCGCGCGGCAGCCAGTCTCCCGGTCTCAGCTCCCGTCCACTCGTCCCCCCCACGGAGCCCCCGGCTAGCGCGCCTCCAGCGACGGCTCCCACCTGCACCCCTTTCTCCCGGGCTTTCTGTCCCTTCCCAAGCAGGCAGCCCTGGCACAGCCCCGCATCACACACCTCCTGCGGGGGAAGTTTCTAGCCAGCAGCAGGCGCTTAGTCAATGCTGCCAGAGGGGACGAGTGACCAGCGAGGCGGGCTGAGCGCACCCACGGGCCCCCCACAGTTCTCCGGGTGTTCGGTTCATTCACTGCTGTCTCCACGCAAGCCCTGTGAGGAGGGGCCGGCCGTCACTGGAGAAGGGACATGGGCCCCCGAGGCCCCTGCGCAGCGTGGCCTGGGTCCTGCCCTCTACGGCTGACCGCTGTCAAGGGGAGCCCAGCAGGAGAGCCGCGGGGTCTCCCCACCCATGGCCAAGGCTGGACTGCCTTGATACTACCCAGTCAAGATTCGGAGACTCCCCAAGAACAGCATGTGGGGACCCGGCCCCCGGCCCCTGTGGGGACATGAGCTCTGAACCTCCCCACAACCCCCCCACTGCCCTGAAGTCAGGGGAGGGGTGCACCCCTCAGCACCCCCTAGGACGCACTCACTGTGACTGGGGGAACCAGACTGGGGCTCAGTGTCCCCATCTGTAGAAGGGGGTAACAGGCTCACTTTAGGGCAAGGTGAACAAACAGAGAGCAGTTGTCCTGGCCTGACCCTGGGGGGAGGGAGGGGGGCAGCGGTGGCCGGGCCGGGGGTCGGGGTGGGGAGAGGAAGAAGCGAGAGAACAGCAATAAAGGGTTTATCTCTCCTGTCCGGGCATCTCCATCTCTGCCTCCTGCTTCCCACCCAGACTTCATTTCCGGCTGTCACTCAGGGACCCGGTGGGCGCAGGGCAGGGCTCTCCTGTGCTTGTGACGGACTCAGCCCTGGGGCAGAGGGAGGGGTGGGGCTGGGGTCCGGCCCTTGCATGGCCCCCTGCCCCCCGCAACGTCGGTGCCTACGGGGCCTGCTTTCCCTGTGCCGTGTGGGGAGTCGCTGCCCGGTGGGCCAGGGCCGGACACGCCGGGAGTCCGCCTGTGCGCGGCGGTGCCCGAGGCGCCCGTCTGAGGACAGCGGGAAGGCCCCCAGGCCTGGTCCACGCGGACTGACCGTCACCTCGGGCCGGCCCCTGAGCTCGGCAGCCGCCCTGCCCCCAGCCTCCGGGCTTGCCCAGGCCCACAGCCCAGGCGGCAGAGCTGGGTTTGAACCTGGGTGTGCCTGGCCCGCGTGCTCAGCCACTGGGAGCCCCCCGGCCCCCCGCTGCTGTTTCAGAGTGTGGGTATGAGATGCTCCCCAGGAAAGTGCGTAGATGAAGGTTTCCTGACACGTGCTGTGTGGACTCCCGACCTAGGGTCTGGGTTTTTCTTTTTTTTTTTAAGCTTTATGTACTTATGCATACAGAACTGGGGTACTGGCCAGAGGTGTGTGCGTGTGAGGGTGAGAAGATTCCCCAGAGACAGAGTGGGGAGCAGAACAGGCAGATGGACTAAAATACACCGCTGAGGGGAGCAGTGGGGAGACAGGAGAGGTCTGCTGCGCCCTGTGGGTCAGCTCCCTGCCGGGAATTGAATTCAGGCTGTGGTAGCTGCTGATAGCGATAGCGCTGCACTTAACCCCTTGCATCACCAGGGGCGGGTGGGGGGGCTGGGTGCTCCTCTTATCCTTATTCTACAGCAGAGGAAGCCTAAGTTCAGAGAGGTTTAGATGAGCAACCCAGGTCACACAGCAATCCATCTCCCTCCCACCTGTCTTACAAACTCTGAGGACGCAGAGGTGTCAGGCCTCGCCCGGCCATGGAGGGGGTCCTCCGTGTCCTTCGAGCTGCCCAGCCCCCCTCATGGGTCGCCCACAGTATGAAAGCAGGGAGCAAGTGCCGTGACCTGGGGTCTGGAGGCCTCAGCCGCTCTCAGGCCTGGCTTCCAGCCACCTGACCCCCCTTTCCCTCTGCGCCCCCGGGGTTTGGCAGCATCCGGTATGCAAGGTCGTCCCAGGAGCAGGTCAAGAGCAGCTTCACCCACTCTGAGCTCCTGCAGAGGCCCCCGCGGCCGGCCAGCGCCGGCCACCTCCCGCGGGAGGGCCTTCCTTCCCCAACGCGGGGTTCCGCAGGGCCCCCCTGCTCGCAGCCGAGCTCGGCTCCCTCTGCCCGCAGGCCCAAGTCAGACTCCCTATAGGCCCTTGTCAACCGGCCTGCGGGGTGGGTGGGGGGGCCGGGGGGGTGAGGGGCTGCTTTACTGGCAAGCTTTTGGGGATGCCAGTGCTGCTGGTCTTGGGCCACCCTCAGGGGAGCAAGACCTTAGCACCCCTTCCCAGCCCGGCGCCTCTGTCCCCTCAGTAGCCGCATGGCGTTGCGTTTCACCTGCAACAGCTTGCTCCCTCCTTCTCAGGCTCCTGTCTGTCCCTTAGTCACTCACGGAGCTAGTTGCTCCTCACCCGCCCTCCTGAAGCCCTCCACAAGCCTCTGAAGTCCCGAGAAGCCCCTTGCAACGCCTCTAAGCACAGGTTTCTTAGGCGTGACCCTGCTGCACGCTTACAGCTGGGCGACCTCTGGCGACTTGCTTAACCTCTCTGTGCCGAGTCCTTGTTTGAACTCTGCCCGGTTCCAAAATGGACCAACAGTTTCTTGCAAAAACGCTGCATAAAATCCAATGGAAAGGCGCGCTGCGGGCTGGCTGGCGGGGCGCAGGCTGAGTCCCGACTCTCCCGGGGCGCGGCCCGGGGCTGGCAGAGCAGGCACTCGGAAGCCCTGCACCAGAGATCTCCCACAACCCACCGCGTGACCTTTCCAGGCGCTTCTGGGCCTCCAAAGTAAATTCCAAAGCAGCAGCAGCAGAGACAGACACGGCAAGGCTTCCGATCGCAGATCTTAATCGCTCATCTAAATGCATCTGTGTGGCGAGCAAATATTTCCCTAGGAGAGGAGACGGATGCACTGGCCTTGCGCCTCGCAGCCCTCCCTGACAGGGCTGTGCAGGGTAGAGAGCAGAGGGCGTTAGGCCAGCCCACGCCGGGAGGTGTGGGCTGAGGTCGTCCCAAAGTGGCCCTGGTGAAGGTGAGGCTCTGTGTGGTCAGCCTCGTGTGCTGACCGCCCCTGGCACCGTGGACCACCACGGCTGAGAGCTGCCCTCTCCGCCCGGCCTGGGCCTCTGGTGCCCGCCTCTCTCTGACCCCAGCTCACCCTTGGTGTTCTCCTTGACCTCTGGCCTCAGTGCTGGCCCTAAGGGCCTTTGCCTGGAGCCTGGCCACAGCCTGGGCCATGCTGAGGTCGCCCAAGGAGGAAGGCGGCCTTAGAGAGTGGCCGTAGGGGAAGAGCGCACCTCTGGCCACAGAGGTCCGAGTGGTCCCACTTTGGATGTCCACGGGCCTGGGCTGCTTGGGCGGTGCCATCTGTGCGGGGTGGCAGACTTGTGGGCTGGGTGTTGCGTGGGGGCCCCTGGAAGGCAGCCAGCCACTTGCTGCTGTACACAGAGCGCAGCTGAGCCCCGCTGTTCCCGGGCACCAGGCTCCTCCACCAGAACCTGCTACCAGCAGTCGGACACCGTGTCCTGTCACCACCACCCCCCCACGGCCGGTGCGTAACCGGGCCTGCTGTGGCGGTCAGTCCTGGCACGCAGGGCGGAGGCCCAGTGGGGCTGGGGTGATGGCAGCTGCCCCTGCCCGTCAAGCGCAGAGGCCGCCAGCTCTCCCCATCTTCCCCGGAGTGAGTGGGGTCCCGTGTGCGTAGGGGCAGGCTGCTGGGTGCACAGTCCCTGGTGTCCAGCTCTGAAGAAGAGAAACTGGGACCTGGGAGCGGTGGGGAGGGCAGCGCAGGGCCCCGCAGTCACTTGTCCAAGTCGGGGGCGACTTGGAAGAGAGGACCCGCCAGGCCGTCCGCCTGGGCCCGGGCAAGCCCCCGCTGTGCGTCTTCCCAGACCCCCACACCAGCTCCAGCTGTGAGAGTGGGAGGTGCTGAACCCCAACCCGGAGCCAACCGTGACAAGGCTGTGTCCCCTTTAAGCAGAGAGCCGCCTGCTGCAGTGGGTGGACTCGGGGCCCAGCCAGTGGGAGCCAAGAGCCTCCCTGCCACAGCCCCTCCCCGGGGAGGCAGGGAGGGGGCAGGCAGCGTGGCTCCCCAGGGAGTGAGAGTCGGTGGGCAGCCGGCAGACAATAGCAGGCATGCTGTGTGGGCTCAGCAGGGAGAGCCCTGGGGAGTCGGGTAAGTAGTGGGGTCCTTTCTGCAGAGTGCTGGGGCGAACTGCCGGGCCCCTGGCGCTGCCGTCCGGAGACAGGGCTTGGCAAGCACGCGGGCAGGACCCCGCGGGGTCAGGGGTGGCTGCCCGTCTGCCCTGCGCCGCCCTGTGGGGGCCGGGTGCAGGACTGTCCGGCTCCGGCTGGGGCAGGCGGGGCTGCAGGCTGCGGGGGGCTCAGCCTCTCGGGGAGGTGAGTCCGCCTCGTCCCTCCGGGCGTGAGCTCGCTGGGTGGGAGGAGCTCCCTGCCCAGAAGTGTGAGGGCCAAGGCCGGGGGCATGGTGTCCCAGGGGAGGGACGGGTCCCAGCCGCCTCGGGGCCGCAGGTGGTGAGGGGTGTCGCCAGCTGCATGTTCCTGGGGGGTCCTGGCAGGGACCCGGCCAGCGACTGAGCGGACACGGTCGCTGTGTCCTGCTGGACCCCCACCCCGGCCTCCGCCCGCTGGACTGGTCTTGCTTCCCCAGAGAGGGACCCGGCCCAGCCTCCCCTTGGCCCTGGGCCCCTGGGGCCCCTTCCTGAACTTCTGGGGTACCCTTGATGTGAGCTCCCTTTGCGGTACTCCCAGGGCGGGACTGTGCTCCTGGGGGCCAGATGAGGGTGCTGGGGGGCGGGGGGGCGTGTGGAGAGCCCTGACCCTGCTTGCCAGCGCCTAGAAAGCTTGAAACTTGGGCTCCTGCCTCCGCACCCATGGCAGGGGACAGCGACGGGCCCCTCCGGGCACAGCTGGCCACGGGCCCCCCTACTTGGCGGGCTCCCCCCGTGCCTCGGCCTTTCCTCCCTCTCCCTTGATGCTCACGACGCTGTGAGCCCGGGACCAGTCCCCTGAGGAAGCTGAGGCCCGAGCAGTTAAGTGACCTGTCCTGGGCCACACAGCAGACGCAGCAGGGCTGGACTGGACCCCGGGAGAGCACGTCCTGGCCTGGGCACGTTTCTCCCACCGAGAGGCCCCACTTTGTCGGGCAGAGTCTGGGCCACCCCCCGGGGGGGCGGCCGGGAGGTGCCTTCCGCCTCCCCGTGAGATCTGGCTCTACCAGGGCTCGGGCCTCAGTGTCCCTTCTGCCCCGCCTGCCCCCCGGGCTCCTCAGCTCCTCACCCCGGCCCCTGCCTTCATGCTGCCATGGAGGGAACTGGCTCACCTCAGCTCTGGCACAGCTCTGGGGCTGCCACTCCAGCCTCTCGTGACCCGCCCCGGTTCCCTCTGGTGACTTGCCGGACTCCCAGCCTCGCCGGCGGGCGTCTCCGCACCTGTCACGGAACCTCACTTCCTTCACTTCAACCTCAGCAGTGAGGCTCTTTGTAGAAAAGTCCAAAGCGGGAGCGTCGGGAACAGACGGATCCAGGCGCTCAGATAACATCCCGCCGCCAGGACTCCGCACTTCTCACTCCACTTCTCTGGAGATGAGCTTTATGTCAGGCAGACTGTCCCTTCCCTGAGTGTCCAGAGGGTCTTTAGAAGTCAGCACCAACCAGCTCAGTCTTCCCGAAGGAAAGAGCCTGTTTCTGATTGTCCCAGCAAACATCCCAGGGCCAGCTGGTAGAGCCAGCTCTGCCTGGGCAGCGGGTCCTGGTCGTGTGTCCCCCTGGAGCAGAGGGCTGAAGGCAGCCCACAGGGAGCCACTCTGTCCACCCTCACCTTGGCACAGGGGCTGAGGCCCCCGGGCTGGCGTCTGTGAGGGAGGGGCCCAGCGCCCTTCTCTGCTCCCGCAGCAGAGTCCTGCCTGTGAGTCCTTCCTCAGGCCACACCCTCCATGTCCAGTCTTACTACTGGGAGCTCCGTGCCCCCCCCAACAACCCCCCCCCACCATCCCTGAGCGCTTGCAGGAAGGGATGTGACCAGGGCTGGGCGCACAGTAGGCTTGGACAGACTTTACCAGGAAGTGCCGCCACCTCCCGCGGTGTTCGGGGCTCTCTGACCCCCTCACAAAGTGGCCATTGTTCCCGCGCCTGGGAAGGCTTGGGCGGGGTGTGGGTGGAGGGTCCCTTTGGCATGGCCACTCCTCTGAGGGGGCCTCCCCAGACCACCAGCAACCTTGTGTAGGCCTGACCGTCTGCTTTGGCTGGGGGCTTTGGCCATGAGCGTGACCCCAGGTCCACAGAGGCTAAAACCGGGGAGGGTCATCTCCTGTCCTGGACCAGCCATAGTGTTGCAACCGTCGGAGGGGCAGGCAGTCCCCGGCCCTCAGTGGGGCTCACTGGGGCGCTGTCCACCTTGTGGGAAGGGGGTGGCAGGACTGCCCACCTCTCTGGGTCATGCCCATGGCTCCTGGCAACCCCAACAGGCACAGCCTGTGGGTGCTTGTGCCCTAAAGCGGGGCCTTCCAGGTAGCCCTCACTGGGGTCCACTGTCCTTGTGTTTGGAGGGAGAGACCCCAGGGTTGAAGATGTGGCCAGCTGGGGGCCAGAGAAACTTGATGCCAGTGACGGATCTCTCTGGGTCTCAGTTGTAAAATGGGGGTCATTTGTGAGGCCCCCGTTCTTTGTTTTCTCCCCAAATTTTGTTGATTTGCCGATTGTTTACATAAGTATGTAATGGGGAGGACTTCAGGCCTCCCTGGCCTCCCTGGCCGTGCCCTACACCCCCCCAGGCTCCAGTTCCAAACATTCCCCCCCCCCTGCCCGTGCCACCCCCTCTGGGAACCAGTGTATTTACTTGGTACACCTGCTCACACATTTCTTACTGTTCCCATTAAACACATGCCTTGAAAAGGAGGGAGGGTCCCTCTGAGACTGTCCTGACCACCCCCCACCACTCACCTCCCCCCCTTGGGGCTTGTGACCTGGGGGACTGGGTCTGCATTCTGAGGTCAGCCTGCTGTATCCACACAGCTGTCCGGCCCGGCCCTGGGCCCACCTGAGCCAGCCACGGAGGGTCCCATTCTGGAAGGAATACTCCAGGATCCAGGGCCCCAGGCATCGTCCCCAGGCCCCGCCGGACAGCCATGGGGGAAGAGCAGGTCAGAGAGGACCCTGCCAGTCACTCAGGGGCTGTGTGACCCTGGGTGGTTCCGTCAACCTCTCTGCTTGTTTCCTCATCTGTAACGTGGGTGAGATAAGATTATCGTGGGGATAAAGCTGTGATGACTTTCAAGCTCTTAAAGTAAGGCCTAAACCCAAATCCTGCTCCTACTCCTTGTCATGTCTCTTAACTGCTCTGTACCTCAGTTTCCCCATCTCAAAAATGGGAATAAGGGCCGCAGCACCCCCCAGGTGGCGAGGATTAAGTGAGATGAGGCTTGAGAAGCTGTAGCACAACACCCAGCACGTGACGGCAGCAAGTGTCGCTGTTATTAGAAAAACTTTGGGGACGGGAGTAAAGGAGGAAGCCATGGTTCAGGCTTCTTTGGACACAGAATCTCACCAACTCCTGCCAATGACCAGGAGGTGGCCGCTCGTGCCCATGGTGCAGGAAAGACGCCCGGGCTGGAGAAAAGCCCCTTGTCCCAGATGCCTGGGCCGGTGGGTGGCAGGTTTAGAATCGGACTCCTCCTTCTGCCCCGGGGCAGTCCCTTGGGCTGGCCGAGGCCACCCGTCTCAGGGGAGGGCTGTAGCCACAAAGCCAGTGGGCATTGAGCCGGACACATGGGGCCCCACTGGAAGCTGGGGGGGTTGGGCTGGGGGTGACTGCCTGCGGCTGCCGGCATTAGCGGCTGGTCCCCAGTGGAGCCTCTGGCCACTTGTCTTTTTCCCAGCGGCTCCCTCTCAGCTGCTGGAGGCCCCCTCTGGAAGTGGTGGAACTGGGTGTCGAGGCCATGTCCCCAGCCTTTCCCGGCCCCTCTCCCTGGTGGCTTAGGCGGGACCCTGGCAAGGCATCCTGGCCCAGGCAGACTTCCTTTCCCTTTGTCAAGACTCAATAGCTCCCTGGGGCCTCAGAGGGATGGAGATAATGAAGGCAAATTAGCAGCAATTTCAAGAGAAGTAAAATAGGAAAGAAACCCACCGCCACCCAGCCTGGGGCGGGCCAGGTGCGGGCTCTCCAGGCCCTCCCTGCCCGCCTGCCCTGGCCACTCGGCCTGCCCGGAGGCCTGGCCTGGCTGCGGAAATGAATTTCCCTCTGTAGCGAGATTTTACAGGACTTGACTGACGGCAAAAGCTCATAATTGCCCATTGCTGGAAGGAGGAGACAGGAAGGAAAAAAAAATGTGGATAAAAATATCTCTGTTTTTTATGCACGTTTCCAGCTGAAAATTGGTGGGAAAGATGTTTTTTGAAAAGCCTTCATCTCTAAGCATATAATTACCAGGTCCCAGAATGAAAACTGAGAGGAGCAGGAGAAAGCAGGCATGCTCTGAGGCAGGAGGAAGGGGCCAAACCCTCTAGGCTGGTCTACAAATAAAATAATTTCCTTAAAAGCTCAAGCTCCCGCTGGCTGGAGCCCCGGTGGGGGCAGGGATGTGCCCAGTGTACACATGGAGAAATAGGGCCCAGACAAATAGCCGGCTGGCCAAGTGGCCGCCCTCCCTTCTCGCTTTGAACGCTGCCTCGACTTCCCCTCCGTCCCCGGATGCCCATGGAAGCAGGGTGCTGTGCACCCGCTGAACCAACATCAGCCGTCGTCATGGTGGGAGGCCCTTCACACCCAGAAGCCTCTTCTCTGGCCACTCAGGCGTCTGGGGGGGGTCTTGGTGACCTCCAAGTGAGGAGGTGTAGACCACCCACACTGCAAAAGAGCCCCTCCACATGGAATTATCCAGAGAGAGAGGGAGAGAGAGAGGGAGAGAGAGGATGTCTGGAGAGAGCAAAGCTCCAAGTGGTGCTCCGGAAAGGTCATCAAGCCACCCCTTAAATTCACGAGCCTCCCTAGGGAAGCCCCTCAAATCCGTGCTTGCAGCGGCTGACTGAGTGCGCAGTCAGGCCCCCATCACAGTGGGGGACAAGTCCCAGCCTCAGCCAGCAGAACACTGTAGAAGCGGCAGGGTTGGGGCCGCTCAGGGTTGGGGCCAGCAGACCCACTGGCCACCATTGCCCAGCGTGTCGCTGCGCCCCATGGCCTGGAGACCACTGGGGCAGAACCTGAATGTTGGGGAGAGGGGAGGTTGGAGCGGCCGTGCCCAAGATCGGGCCTGCAGGTGGGTCCTCTCCGCTGCAGCCAGCGGCCTCTGCCCTGGCCTCAGAACCCAGCGCCCCGGGGCCGGGGGCCTCGGTCTAGATTTCGAGCTCGAAACTCCGCTTTGGCGCTCAGTTGTCTGCTCTGTGTTCTTTGGGACTCTGCGCTCTGAATTAGGGGAATTTGATCCTGTTTCCTGGTCCTTTCTGTGAGACTGACAAACCTGGAGCCAGCAAGTTTATCTCTGGTCTTCTCGGGACATCCTGCAGAGGGATTTTCGGGGGGCGGGGGTGTGGGGGCTCATTTGCATGGGGTAAGACGAAGTTTATGGCAGCGTTACCCATGCTGTACCGGACCTGGTGTGCACCGGACAGTTGACAGAAACCTGTCTTCTTAGTTTTATTAGCTCAGAAACATCTTGTTGGATCTAAATGAAGTGCGAATCGGGGACCGTAATGGGGGGCGTCATTCTCGATGGGGTGTTGCTGAATTGGTGGCTGCTGATGCGAACCAGGCGCCTGGGGGAGAAGGGGGTGAACAAGGCTGCCGGCACCCAGCTCCAGGGACCCCGCAGGTGACTCCGGGCTTAACTGCTGTTTGATTTGTTATTGCCACAGCCAGAGGGTCCTGGGGCAGCAGAGGGAGGGGGACGGGTGGTTTCTTAGTGGGGTGGTC